GACCCAAACCCTTACTCAGACCTTTCGTTGACTCCAACTTACACTATGTGAATCCTCAGCGATCACTGAAACAAATTCACTGTTGTGGACTGAACTCCTACAAATCCATAGCAACCAGGCAAACTCAGTCTACTGTGGAAGATTGTGCGACTGAAAGCTACAGAGCAACTACTATCGATGTATAAATAATAAATAAAACAGGCCAAAAATACATCAATGTGTCTGAATAGCTACATGTTTGCCTGAATATGTCCCTGAAGTAGAATCCACAGTGACATGGGGGACAGTATGTGAAACGTTGCTCTTCCTGTTTCTGCAGGATGGCAAACCACGGTCGCACCATCATCCTGTCCATCCACCAGCCTCGATACAGCATCTACCGCCTGTTTGACAGCCTCACCCTCCTGGTCACCGGCAAACAGGTCACTCAGAACTGCTGCCCATTGAAATCCTGACATGTCCATTTTGGTCAGTGTTACTTTACAGATTCACATGAACCGTTCTGTTTCCACTACATCATCAGGTTTATCACGGACCAGCACAGAGTACACTGGATTATTTCTCTGACATTGGTAGGAACATAAGATTGACTTTCCTCCAGTGTAACCTGATGTACAGGCGATGAATGTAATTCAATTTGGAACTTCATTTCCCAGGATACACCTGTGAGCCCCACAATAACCCAGCTGACTTCTTCCTGGACATCATCAATGGAGACTCGACCACCTTTGCCCTCAGCAGCATAGATATTGAAGGTGCTTACAGTTCGCCAGATGAGCTGTTTTTGGCTGATTCGTAATTATTTAAGCTTTGGGTCCGATTTTAAAACCAGGGTCCTACAGGGTCACTATAAAAATCTTTTTCATTTATATGAAGTGGCTGGATGTTTATGAATGCCTCATTCTTTGTCCAGATCCAGATTCAGACACGCTGTCAAAGTCCAGACAGGGGATCGAAAACAAACTGGTGGAGGAATATAGAAACTGCCACTACTATAAACAGACCAAAGCAGAACTGGGTGGGTACAAAAGATTAAAGTGTCAGTCTGTATGTGTATCACTGAACATGTTTAACAGTAGAAGTTGTGGAAATACTACATTTGGATTCAGGGATTTTAAGAA